TCTCACGTGTTTGGATTTTAACCACTAAGTTGTGGAATAATTTCCATAGCTTGGAAGTTCCATATGTGCCTTTTAAAAGATCTGAGAAGTGGGAGAAATACACTTTTCTCTTTTGCAAACTACTTTCAACCTCCAGCTATTTTCTACATTCTTGCTCTCCTTAGTCTCATCTCTCCTTCATATAAAAGATATTTAAAGAACAAAAACATATGTTCAGTTTGTAGCACTACAAACAATTAAAGCAACAGTGGTAGACTAGAAAGCAAGAGAAATTTTGAATGCTAAATATTTTCAGGGAACAGTGTTTACTTTTATTAGAGACAAACACTCCCCATGAACTAATTTAGGCAATAATTGTCTTAATATGGTTCTTTTTTAAAGGTAAGAAGCTATTTTCCTTGGATAATATTTTTCCTTTTTGTTGATAGAGAAATAATTTATGAAATTTAGTAGTTTATGTGTCTTTGCTACTTATTCACAAGTATAAAGACAACCAACCTATATATAGATAGGTTTAAGCTTCTTATTCATATTTATTTACACATGTGTAACAACTGCATACTTCCTGTAGTCTCATCCTACCCCCCTAACAATTTTTCTGTGTTTTATTATTCTGACACGTTGATGGGGTTGAAAGTTTTTGCCTTCATAGCATCAGACATGATTAACTGTTACTGTTACCTTTTAAATCCATCAGTTCTTCCTTAAAGAGGGCTACAACTGTAAAAGCTTGAAAAAGCCAATATAAAAGCTACTTCTGCAATGGCATTGGTGGGGAGTAGGGGAAAAAAGCAACCTTAAGAAAAGTAAAGCCCTATACAACAGCACTAACAACACTGGATTTTTAATGAAAATAATATTCTCATTATACAGAAATTGATAAGGTCATTATAAAAGACTGCTAGGTTATGGTATTGTTAAGGAAAAAGGCAACAAAAGATGATAGCTTGAGATAGATACATATGTATAATGCATATTAATGTATTAATAAAGTATTGATTTCTATATTTGTATACTCACATAAATGCCTCCTAAAATATCTGTGTATGAGTTCACCTAAGAATTCAGGATAAGCTCAAAGTTAGTTGTTGTGTGGAGTTCTTTCGTAAGAAAAAGGAACATTGTAATCTACTCATTTTTATAAGATGTTTTATAAGAAATAGATTATTTGTATGAAGCAAAACAGAACCAATACGCTTATTACTATAAGTTTTGTGCTTATAGATACACCTCTATAAAATCAATATCATGGGATTGGAAAGATGACTCAGTGTTGAAGAGAGTTTCCTCCTCTTCTAGAGAACTCCAGGTTGTCTCCTTGAATCCATGTTATGTGCCTCACAACTGTCTTAAACTCCAGGGAATGGAGTACCATCTTCTGAACTCTGTGAACGCTCACACACATGTGGCATGCACACAGAGAGACACAGACATAAACATACATAAAACATTTTTTTTAAAAACAATCAACATTATGTATAAAGGGGATATATCTGTGAATATACACGCAACATGTGGCGTGTCTCATAGAAAACACATCTGCATGTTTTACTATACAGCTGCAAATAATCAGGCAATATGTAAAAATCAAGGCATCATTTGTGATAATCGTTACCTGTTAAAGTGATTCAATAATTATGATTTGTCTAAGAAAATATCTCTCTTTCAGAGTATGAGGATAAGGTGTCTTCACTGCTGGAAATTTGTATTTTGTTTATTTATTCAAATGCACCAACCAAAAGAAAGTTGGACAAAGAATTTCTGTACGAGTAAAACCTTAAAATAGAGTTGTATCATATTTGGCAAATTATTCATTAGCTACCACTACATGTAGCAATCCCTTATTCTATGGAAGGATTTATGAAATTAATAATACATGTAAAATTATATGTGGGAATGGAAATATGACTATAATAAATCAAAATTCTCCCCAAATTTCTCATAATCTTTTCTTTCCTCTTTTACAAGCCAGATAGGGATTGAAGCAAACAGTTTACTTAGACCCAGGGAGCGCCTTAAAACAATCACTACATAAAATCATATCTCCATACCTACTAGAAGGGCAACTGACAGGACTGGGGAGAAGGAAGAAGGATGAGAACGTGTAAGAAACATAGAAGTCCCGGGAAGGTTTCGGTCTAATTTCGGGGGCAGCAGTGGGGTGGGGTGGGGTCAGGGGGAACAAACTAGAAGACACTGGTTGGCAAAGACATTGTGTTCTGGGAGAACACTATAAAATAGTCTTACCCACCTGGCTTTCCACCATTGAGGTATACATTTTATGTGAGCCATAGGTGTGGGTGTACAAACAGGTTTTGTGTGTGAGAGTATATTTCTGAGCCGAAAGGGCAAAAGTCATAGGAATAGAATCCAGAATCAAAACAAAAACTAATGATTTCTAACCCGAAGCAAAGCAAATGCCTTGCTTACCCAGGATGTGCCTCTTTAAATGCTCTACTTCACACACAACACAATAAGGCCAGGAGAAGAATACATTTTTTTGGAAAAATGTTTTATTTAAACCTTTAAATCTTTTACAACAATAAAATATTGCGTCAATATAAACCCCTTAACTAAAACTGTTCACATCAAACATTACAGCAAATTGTTTTCTTTTTGACACCCAACTCATCTTTGAAACCATTTCTATTTAAACACAATGCAGAATTTATTGAAAATAAATAACTGTTGGCAACTGCAATAGGCAATTTGAATAAAATAGTTGGAAAAGCAACTCTTAATGAAAATAGCGTTTATTATACATCAGTTACTAAATGAATAAACTAAATGATCTTTTTTAAATTAATAACTTCAAAAACGCTTAATATACAAAACTGTACAATTATAAAGTCGGCAGAAATATTTGGGTTAACTCAGGTTTGAACCATAGTGTTTAACTGCAAAGAAAAAAAAATTAAAAAACCCACCACCCTCGAACATTTGTAAAACATGAATTCAACTAGGGGAATAAAATCGCAGAACTAAAATCTAAAAGTAAGAGAATGCAGAGGCTTGAGAAAAAATTAGAAGAAGAAAAGAAAAAAGAAAAGAAAAGAAAGAACAAAAAGAAAAAAAAAACCTAGCAAAAAAGTCCGGGATTTGAATTAATATATGCTTTTCAACCTGCGGCTAGAGAAGACACTGTGGTCAACCAGAGGCCTGGCAGCCCATACTAGCGCACATCTTCTACAAGGAGCAGAAGGTTTTCTTGTTCTTAGGTAGTTTGAAGCTTTGTCTACCGCAGCTGCGCCTGCAGGCTGAATCCGGAGATCAGCCTGGCGTGCTGAGATCCCCTTCAGGTCAGGCCGGCAGTTACTGGCTGGGCATGAGCGCTTCACTGGGCCAGCACAGAGTGCTTGTTGAGGATGAGGTGCACTTATGAACCTGTCCTGTGGACTTGAGAGAAAGCTAGCCATAAAGCCACGGCAACCGCTTAATTTTGGGATCTCTACATAGTCTAGCGAAAATTTTTTTTAAGTTTTTTTTATGCAATAATACGGTACACACAACTATCTACACACACACATTTGCACGCGCACGCACACACGCACAGAAATACATACACACATATTTTTAATTTTTTTAAGAAAAAAAAGCATAAACTCAGCCGCCCAGGCGCTCCCTAGCTTGCTCAATCTTCGCCATGGGCTTCCACCAGCTGTGCTCATCAAAGACGCTGAGATGGGCTCCCCAAGAGCTCACTCAGACCTTGGTATATACAAGAGGGAGAAGGTGGTACACGGCTGGACCAGAATTTCCGTGACTTTTGCTAATCATTTTATTGTCGCTCCGCACTAAGCAAAGGGTGTCTGTTAACCCACCCCCTCACCACCCTACTGAGAGTGTTTCTCACCCTGAAAGCGAGCGGCGGGGAACTGGGAGGCGCTGGCCCAATCTGTCGCCAGCGTCTTTTGGTCCTGGTCTCAGGTGAAAGCCACCATTCGTGAAGGCAAAGTCTTTCATCTAGGAGAGTGTAAGTGGGTAGCGCAGGTTGTCAACCTGACTATGCTGGCAGCCTGTGGGAAACTTCAGGCACAGACATTTACGACCTGGGTAAATTCAGAATCCTTCTGGTTCCTCAAACCCCATTTTTTGCGCACCACTGCTGAATCCTTCTGGGGTTTATGTTGTGGAAGCCTTCAGAGACTCCACAGTAGCAAAAAACAGGAGGCAAAAAGCAGCGAAATAGCCTCTCTTACTTTAGGCTTCTTTGCAAACCCATTCAGTTTGCTTGTTCTGCCCACATAAGCACTCAGTCCCAGGGGGAAAAATAGAAACATCAACTTTCTCCATGGTATTTCTATCCATGCAGATTCGAAAGTGTGGGAGTGCAAGAGGTGAGCATTTTTCTCTTTCCTCCTTCCAGCCTCCCCTCCCTTTTTAAGCAATTAAAAACCCATCAGCTGAATGAAGAAATAATAATACTAGCAATAATAATGTGAAGTGGTCGATTAGATACAAATTATCTCACAAATATTGTGTACAGCTTGTAGTAAAACACCGCAGACATTTAGAAACGCTATAGAAGTTTTAAAAAATGCAAAACTAGTCTATTGTAAAACAGATTTCACCTGAAATACAGCTGCTATAACCAAGGCGCTGAAAGGTTATTCATAGGCACACATCTGTCTTCCCACCCTCTCCCGACCCCACCCCTGTTACCCAGCTCCTTGCCCTTTTTAGAGAGGAGCAACCAAACAAATCTTACTCAGAGTAAACAATATGTATTGATCAGCAGAAAAGGTTGGAGGAAAATTGCCCTTGCAGCAGGGACTATGAGGTCCCCACCTGGACTGCTTAATACAATTGTGTTTCAGAGTTGAGAATCCTGAATGCGTGCGTGCATGTGTGTGTGTGTGTGTGTGTGTGTGTGTGTGTGTGTGTGTTTCCTTTCTTAACATAAGTTAGAAACCCCTGTGGAGGAAAGAAAGAGCTAGCAAGCTAGAGAGATAGCAATAATAAAGACTGTAGTGATGAAAGGAAGGAAAGGAGTGAGAATGATATCCGCACTGCTCCCAGTGCTGCGGACCACCTTCTGGCTTCCTCCAGTCAGAGATCGTGGCAGGACGCGTCTGTTTTCACCGCGTGCGAATAAACCTCGTGTGGCTGCTGATCCCCAGGCGGAGTCATTCTTTTTTCTTTTTGTCTTCTATTACAGAACCAGACACGCACCACTTCTTTCTCCAACTGGAGGCTGTCTGCCAGCGAGGAGATCTCCTGCGCTGCAGGCTTGGGACACTTGAGGAAATGCGTTTCCAGGACGCCCTTGACACTCACCTCGATGGAGGTTCGCTTCTTGCGCTTGCGGCCCTGAGCGGCGATCTTGTCAATACTGGTAGGGCTTCCAGTGGATGAATCAGCCTCCTCCAGCCACTTATTGAGCAGGGGTTTCAGCTTGCACATATTCTTGAAGCTCAGTTGCAAGGCCTCGAACCTGCAGATGGTGGTCTGCGAGAACACGTTGCCATACAGGGTGCCCAGTGCCAGCCCCACGTCGGCTTGCGTGAACCCCAACTTGATTCTTCTTTGTTTGAATTGTTTGGCGAACTGTTCCAACTCAGCAGAGGTTGGAGTATCCTCATCCGAGTGGTCTTGGCAGTGGTGCGAGCCCAGCTCACCATGGTCTGGAGGCTCCCGGAGCACTGGATGCAGGCTCTGTGTGGAGGCAGCAGCTGGTGGTGGAGTGAGTCCCCCATGCTCCAGCATACCGCTCACCGTGAATCCCGGCTGCGAGTACACGTTGAGGGGTTGACCGCTAGACGGGATGGACGAGTTTGGAGCTGGGCTCGCTCCCCAGGCATTCGGATGGTTAGTATGGGGCGAGTGGTGGGCTACGTGCGGCGAGCGGTGATGGATGATTGCTTCCAGTTGCAGATCTTCGCGTCCAGGCTTCACATCCGGCTGGTCCAGGGGGCTGGTGGCCAATGTAGAGGACCACGGGCCCCCGTCGCTCAGACTGGACACCCAGTGATGCCCTAGGGGATGCCCATTGCTGGGAACTCCCTGCAAGTAGTCACTTTGGAGAAGTTTCTGAGGATTGCGGAAAGGACTTCCCTGCTGCATGACCGCAGAGTCCGCATGGACGAGGGAACTGGAACTGAGAATGCTGTAGGGATTCGAGGCAGCTGTGGCCATGGTCGATGAGGATCCTCTACTAGTTATAATGTGGCAAAGGGAGCAGCTTCAGCCTTTGACATCTATGGTGCGGGGGAACCAAAGCCGCTAGCGCGGGTTACCGGCACCCGCCAAGGCCAATCGCAGCTCGACTTGGCCTGGCCAGGCATAAACTCAGCCAATGATGGTGCGGGAGGCCGAGCTCGCTTTCCAAATTAGGCTGGCGAAGCTCCGGAGTTTCAGTGAGACCCAAGCAGAAAGTGAATCAATCTTTAGGCTCCATTGGCTGCCTAGCTCAGAGTGGCAGCGGCTCTTTTAGTTAACCCTTTCCCCCCTCCTGGAGACCAAGTGTTTGTTTGTGACGGAGAAAGGCTGTATTTGTGTAGAGTGGAAGTGAGGCTACCTTTGGTTTCAGATCTCCCTTTAGCTTACTGAAATAAAAAAAAAGAAAGAAAGAAAGAAAAAGGAAGGAAGAAAGAGAAATTAAAATGTCATTTTGATCTTACTGCATTAAAATTTTCAGATTTAGTTAGTTAGCACTTTGGGTTACTGTGTGGTGGGGACTGCAAAATAAAACGCATCTACAAACTTTGAGCAATGCAATGTTTTAGGTCAGAGCCCAAAAAGAAAATTCATTATCTAATAAAAGCTATTCTAATTTATTTTGCTCCTGTTACATTTACAAGAAACAAAAAAGCTCTAGGAAAAAGATTTCTGCTTTTTTTTTTTTTAATTTTTGATTCAGGGCATGAAGAGTTGAGGGTTTGCGAATGTAAATCTTAAAGTGCTCCTTGGAAGACTCAGTCAGTTTTAAGTTTGCTGGTTAATTGGAAATCTGACTTTATCTTTGCTCCCCTGTCAGTTCCCATCAGAGGTCTCTCAGCAGCTTGTTGAAGCAGGCAGTCATCTTCCACACTCACCCTAGATGCACGCAGCAAACCCAGTCCCCATTCCCAACAGGCAGACTGGAAAGCACTCAGAACACCAAGCAAGCCCAGTGTTGTACCCGGAAAAAACTCTTTGAAACCTTTACAGCCCGCTTCCTTAGCAGAGTGATAGAAATACTGAGAAATGTGCTTTCTCTACTGTTCTTTCAAAATGTAGAGAATCAGAGAGACAAGGAAAGAGAAGACAGGAGGGGGGGGGAGAAAAGGGTAGTGGGAAAGAGGGAGAGAAACCGAGAAACCGGAGAGAGATCTTGGTGGCTAGGCATCTTGCACAGTTTTTCCATTTCTCCACAGCTGCCACAAAGCTTGAATTAGCTTTCAGCCCGGGGGACCCGACCGCTTTCAAATTTTGTTTAAAGGAAAGACATACCCTCCTAGGCTTTTCCAAGTTAGAGAAGAGCAAGTCCATGTGCTCCACAGCCCCACGCAAAGGTGTTGCTTGGAAGCAGAGTTGGTGGAAATGCAAAGATGTTACAATTACACTAGCTCAGAAAAGACAAGAAACACACAACACCCAATACCAAATGTGAAGTTGTTTTTTTTTTTTTTAAATGACCTTTCGTTCGGTAATTTTGGAGGCAACCTAGCTGTGTAATTATATTTGCTCTAACAGAAGACGGCATCAGAGTTCCCTTATTGGTTTGAAATTCCATTAAATATATTGCAAGAGCTTCCTAGGTTAAGCTTGATTTAAATTTGCATACATTTTCATATATTTAGCTGAAATAAAAGAAGGCTTGCAGCTACCAGAAAGTCATTAAGGCATTAGTTTCTCTAAGAAGACAGATCTGAAGAAAATGCAAGAAAATGAGAAAAAAAATAAAAGCAAGGTGAGCTTATTCTGTCATTCCTTTATATAGCGGAAGAGTATCTATTTCCTGTGAAATTGGTGATTATTTTTATGACAGCACAAAGTAATAGGAGCAGAGATTGGTAAATGTAAATGCGCGTTTGTTAGGTGAGAAAACCTGGCATCTGTTTGAAATCTTTCTTTTGCTCTTAAAGATAAACACAGTAATTATTGGCAGAGAGGATCTTTCGCCATCCTCCCTGCTTCACCCTGCTTTTTCATTGAAATTGTAGGTTCATTTGCTGATGCCCTATTGTAAGGGCTTATCTGCTTTTAACCTAGAAATCGATTCATTCCCACTGCCTCTCCCTGTCTCCCTCCCTCCTTCCATTCCTCCCTCCCTCCCACCCTCTGTCCTTCCCTCCCTCCCTCTTACACTCTTGTGCGCAGGCACTCTCTCTCCATCTCTGTGTGTCTGTTTCTATATGTCTTCTCTTTTCTGTGGAGGAATGAGGTAGGCTGTTTTTCACTGCTGAATGTATGCATTATCTTTTACAAGAATGCAATCCAATTTGTGCCTGAACTTATGCTTCTCAAGAAATAAGAACTCATTAAAATCAAACAAAAAGAAGTTTTCGGTGCTCGATTAGACTGCCTGTTTGGTGATCATTTGCTAGTATTTGTTGGGTCAGCTGAAAGGTCAAAGGAAATTTCTTGAAGAAACCCTATGTGTAAAACTCCGATCATGATTATAGCCAGGTTGTTGGTATGTTTAACACCCCCACCTAGCAGCTGCATTTGGGTGAAAGTATTGCTTCTCTCTGTTAAGGAGGTGAAGATAATTATCTAATTATCGTCTGATAAAGCTTTTTTTTTTTTTGTAAAAAAAAAGCATCCTTTTCTTGTTCTGACTAGAAAGAATGTTTGGAGTCCACATTACTCTTAGTCTTGCCCTTGCTTTGCTTTGGTAACCGAGGTTTTGCTATTAAGCAAAAGTAGCTCAGATCATTAATCCCAAGTCAGGAGGTAGGGGGAGGGTAGTAAGGAGGATACATCTACACCCAGGAAAAGGCTTTTCATAGCCCTGTATTCTAGCCTTTAATTTCAGAATAGATTTTTATTATGAGCAGAAATTCTTACCATTCCCTTTCCTTCTCCCTTCCTTTCCCTCTCTTCAACTCTTGAATCTTTTCTCCTCTCCCCTCTTCCTCCTCTCATTTAAAAATTGTTTTCTGTGAGTATAGATAATGTCTATCTCATTAGGTGCAATCACTCCCTATAGCAGATGTAAAAAGTCTTCCCTTATATATGACATATTTTGCTTTCTGAAGAAAATATCTACATGTAGTGAAATCTTCTTGCTGTTCTAACTAATCTACTAGAGAGGTTTCCTTTGCCCACTCCTGTCAGTCTAACTTCCCAAGTGTAACAGATGCCGCTCTCAAGCGCTCTTTTCTGTGGCTTCTCTTTATTCAGCCTTGCATATTTCTCCCCATGATCTGGGTTTCCATAGAGAGAGGAATAAAAGGGGGGACCATGGTCACAAATCCCCTGCCCCATGCAAAATAAAAGAGCTTCATTCAATAGACGACCCTGTCTGGACATGGGAGAAAAATAAGTCCAAGCAAAGCTACTGTTGCAAAGAGCTGGTAACTTATTTTTCATAGACTGCAATTTGCCTTAAACTCCAAGTCACCCCTACTAAGCTTGATCTTTCTGGCATCTGGGCCAAAGATATATCTTGGTGTGCTCCTCATGCAGATCTTCAAGTTCACTCCAGGTCCTCAGTCGGATTCCCCTATCCCCTCTAGAGCTAATGGTTTGAATTATATGACAAAAGCTATCGAACCTATCGGGCTGGGGCAGCTAAAAGTCGCCCTAGATAGGAACTGGGCTTTGAAGTGGAGGAAATGTAATTGTAGCAAATCTACTACCTTTCTCCCACAAGACTGTAGAAGTTTCAGTTCTTGGATCATACAAGCATCTTCATTCCCTGTTGAGATGTTTCACACTCCAGTTTCCCACCCCACATTTTTCACATCCCTTTATTCTTTTCAATAAGGGCAATACAATTCATTTGGAAAAGAAAGATTTGCTTGATTTACTTATACTTTCATCTATTTATTGGTTTGGAGTTTCAGATAGCTTTTCTTCCTAAAAAAAATTGAAAAGATGCAAGTTTCTGAGTGTCTTTGCAGAGACTCAAGCCTCTTGTTTCCAAGCAAGGAAGGATTCACAAAAGAAATTAAGCAGATTAATGCGGTTCAGGTTTCGCTCCTGTAGAAGCATGCTAGCATGGCTCCAGCTGGGTAGTCTGCATCCAGACTCATTCTGAAAGTGCCCCAGCCATGGTGATTATGATTCTTGCAGATTTAATATTTGAGTGTAGATTATGAAGTATTCTCATTATTTGTACAAATTGGGGAAGGGAGGAGAAAGGCTGTCAGGAGCTGAAGCTGGCAGAGGGTGGGGGTGGGAGTCCGGAAAGGAGTCTAAAAAGCCAGATTTCCTTGTGTGTAATATAGCATGAAACTGCAGACAGTAGGATGTGGCACATGGGCATGACCTCTAGACTGAAAATGTCACCTTCAACACAAGTTCGCTCTGGAAACAGGACAAGTTAGATTGGGTTGGCTAGGGGCAAGCACAAAATTTTTTTTTGAAAGCTAGGAGCTTATAAAGAAGTGGAAACAATTGAACAGCTTCTGAAAGGAGCAGAGAAATAAGCATTTTCCCCCCGCATCTGTACACTAAGCTCATAAGACATTTTGGATGGGAGGCACAGCTATCCTTCAGAGCAGTATGTTGTTCACTGTACCTCTTTCAATGTATCCCTCTCCTTTCTTTCTTTGCATTTTTGTTTGTCTTTTTTCCTCCTTCCTTCCTTTTTCCATCTTTCTTTCTTTTAAAATGTTCATCTTTTAAAAACTATAACAAGGTAAGGAAAAAAATCTCACCATATTCTGGGGGATAATTTAAAATACAGTAATTTTGACAGCATTAGTTAATATCAAGGACACAAATGCAATGAAGTTCATTTTAAGAGTCTTTTATCTTTTCTTGAGTGTGAAGAACCAGTAGCATAAAGTAGAAACGATAACAGAAACAGGGTAATGTACAAAACTACAATATTATTCATGACAATTTTATGTGAATACCACAACCTGTGAGAACTAGACATTTGCTAGCTAAATTTAACGTTGATGGAGGAAATGCTGTGGCATTGTGTGGCTGAGGCACAGACAGGATGGTTAAAATATAAGAAGAGACAATAGAGACCCTGG